TCTCCTTTAGAAAAAGAGCTCCATATAAAGATATGTAAAAATGATCAAATTTTTAAACTAAAATGTATGGAATGTTTCTTTGCCAAATGATAGTTGACAGCTTAAGGTATCATATTCATCTGAAAAATGAAGTTATATCTGATGGATAATTTGCCGGAACCCCCCCCCCCCCACCCGCCTTCATAAGAAAACAATGCATTAAACACTACCTCTGGTGTGAGATTCTGACAGTGTTGCTCCATTACTGTGTGACCTCCTTTTTTTTCATAAAACTATGAGCAAAGTCCCCATCTTCATCATCAGTGCTTCTTTCTAAATAATCGTGAAATACTGAATGTAGACAATGGAAACGTTTTGTTGAACATTTTCAATTAGATTAATACAGTACCTGAAAAAAAGATTAGTTTATTGAGCATATAGTTTCGAGACTTTCCAATGACAGTTTTGATAACTTCATGGTTTAAAAGATGATGTCATGTGAATGCCGTGGCTGCACTGCTGTTAATTTTAAGCAAGCTAGTTTCTGAAAAACAAAACATCAAAGCACACCTAAGCCAGAGATGAATCGTGCAGTTGCAGATTATTATGCGTCGTTCTAAGTGCAGTGTTGATGAATCACACAGTGGTTGGCGTGACATAATTGTGATTGTAAGGGAGATAAATCTTATATTTATAGTCTAATTATGATAGGACACCAGCACTTTTTTTATCAGATTAAACAATGCTTATGTCCTTATAATTTTTTCTCTGCTGTGGTAATTTTTTATCATCTGGGGGTCGTAACATAAAGACTACTTAAGTCTAAGACTGTGCTTAAGTAGGACTTAAGTACAGTCTAAAACTGAAGTCCGTAACTAGAAGCGTACTAAGTATTGGTAATCTTAGCAAAACTTAGGCGGCCGGTAGAGGTGACTTAAGCATATCTTAACTTTCTCGTACATATATTTAGAGTTATTTAATGTTGATTTTCGATGTTAAAACATTCCTCTATACATATTATGCATTAAAGAAAATAATTATCTCTATTGGACGCTGATTTAAGAATTTTATTTTTTCGTTTGGGGGGGGTCACTGATTCCAATATCACTTCCAACACAGCATACATGTAAATACAAAAATTAATTTTAAGGATACGTCTAAAATTAGTGGGACCTTGGTTATTGAAATTGAACACAGTAATAGACCGTTGATCGGTATGTTCAATTTGAAAATATGAGTTGAAAGAAAAGAGAGAGTTATAAAAAAGTATCTGTAAAGTAGAATAAATGTAGAACCATAGAGAGAGAGAGAGAATTGCTTGTAAAGTGGAGACATACATATACGAAAAAAATGTCCGATTTTTTGGTATCCTTGATTAAATTGGAAATGAGTATATCATTAAACTTCTGCAGTTTTTGCGTCTGACACGCATGGCCTGATACATAGCGGGGATTCAAAATGTTTTGAACTTTTTAGAGTTTCAATTTCAAGTGGATAGGCGGTCGATTATCTTTTCTTGTTTGCGATAATAACAGGGTAAGTGAACATTTGCAATATATCTAATATAAAATCAAAAACCATAGTTAACTCATATGAAATATTTTTAACATAAGTTTGACTTCGCTAGGACCTACCTAAGTTCGCTTTATGTTACGGGTTTGAGATACTTAAGTAGTACTTAGACAGGTCCTAAGATTATGCCTAAAACGTACTTACGACCCTACTTAAGTCAAAAACTTAGCAAGCTTTATGTTAAGAGCCCCTGATGATTTTTGTGTTAATTTCGCAGTATTTTTGATCACTGTTATTGCTTTCTCTATTACTTAAAGGTTTTTTCATGAACATCATATTCATATTTCACCAATTTATTTGGACTGCACCACAGGTAGTTCTTTCTGTTTTCATGTCTGTCTGTCTATTTATAGTATCTATAGTATCTGTATTCATCCATTAAGCTTGGTACAAGATTTTAGACCTCTGACTTAATTATCTCCATAGATTTTGAATTTGGAATCAATATAGCAGCGCCATGCTTTTTTGTCCTATCTGTTCATTTTCAATCTGAAGTGCAGAAATTCTAGATAGATCAAGATGCGGAACGATTGATTTTTTTTATCCCTGAATTCTTGTTTACTTGTTGGCTTTTCAACATCTGAGTTTAACTTGCTTTATTAGCCTTTTAACATGATGCTGCATACACACAGTGTCTGTATAGAGTTGGTGCCTACTGTGCAAGCAGCTTGTCAAAATTATGAAGGAAAAATTATTAGTATATGTTCCTTTCATGATATTGATTTTATGTTGTTTTATAGAAACCAGCCTTATCTGTGACTAAAGTTGATTGTAAAAATTCAAATTGGAGGAATACTACTACATGAAGTTTATTCAATGCTTTACACATTCATATAATTCACCTTATCTCAGTAAAATGTGTACCAACAATGTATAACTGAATTGATATTCCTGAAATTCAGTAACTGTTCTATTTGATTACTCATTTTTTATGCTTAAAATTTAACTATAAAAACCTTTCTTTCTACACAAAATATTTAAAATGTATATTTTACAGATCTCCACGACACCCAGAAAGGTACCTTATAAAGAGAATTGTTGGCCTGGAAGGTGATATTGTTAAGTAGGTATATGATTGTACTTATATATACATTTTATATATACTTGAGTAAATTTTGGCCATGAAGATCGAACTAATAAAGTGTGAAGACTAGATTTTTGGCACAAAAGGTGACGTTAGAAAAAAATGCTGCAATGTGTCAACTTCAATTTTTAAAACCGAATAAAATTTTATTTTTTTCTAGTATTTAAAACATTTTTGATTTGTTGTTATTTTCGATTTTCTAAGCAGTAAGAATAAAAAAAATTAATATGAAATTTGTTAAATAAGTCAATTTTTTACCACAGAAAAGATCAATTCCCTTCCTGTATTTTCAGATCTCGTTAGGACTTATCACTGCCAAAGCGACACATGTGGTATGACCGCCTCATCACTGAAAACGTTTGGAGTCCATCGAGGCACCACCTGAACGAGTCATCAAAGAACGCCAACGGCTGAATATATAAGGACCTCTTTGTTTATAAAAAAATTAACTGTGATTTTACTGATTTTGATAAATGATATTATTTTGTGCGGTAATGTGTGAAAGGTGTTTGTTATGTTGATTTATGTGCGTTATGTGAGATGACAAAAATGAATGTGTAGACAAATACATGTGTTTAGAGAATTATTATAAATTGTTCTTAGTGTGTGATATCAAAATAATTAAAACTATAACAATTGTTTCTCCCGTTCATTTATACACCCTATGTTCTATAACAAGGCATGTTGTGTATAATCATAGTTCAGTTATATTCAGATGTAGTTCGTTTTTATGCCAGAATTTAAGCTTCAAAAGCTTAAAGAAGTTTTTTTGTCCAATCTTTTTCCAACATTTGTTAATCAACATCTATTACTATTCCATTAAACCTCAGTAATACCGCTATTTGGAAAACTGCAGCCAATATTTACACACACACACACTTATTTATATTTGCATATGTAAGAAGGATTCAAATTTTTCAAAAATGTGTCACAATCTAGATCCACAGCATCTTGGGGAACAGTGTTTGCTGTACATGTATTAATATGTAAGGGAAGTAATCATAAATTGTCTTTAATCTAAGAAAAATAAAACATTTGAGTATTATTATGCATAAACAATGAGCACAGTATAGGTATCGATGGTTAAATGTGTCAAAATTTTAAGAATGGAAGGGTCATGGTTTGGTCATACAAAGTATTAGTATATAAGCACACACAAGTGAAGACAAATGAAAAACGGAGATAATAAACATGCAGTGTTTAATCTTTTTAGTTCATACAAACAATACAAATCAGGAGCAGAGCAAATACCGGTATGGATCTCTTAAACAGAGATGGAATCAGATGCATTTGAGGAGTGAGCATCCCCTTCAAACCGGTCACATCCGCCTTGTGCTTTTGTCATGATTGGGGAAAAAGGGGGGAAATCCATTGGCTATAAACAATTCAGTGTGTATAAAGTATGAAAAAGTCAGTCAACAGTTTACTTAATGGTAGATTTTCATCAACTTCCTGAATGATGTTGGCGTCTTTAAATTAGATTGTTGTTCTTGTTTCATCCACTTGTTTGTCAATAGCCTTCCTCATTTTTGAAACTTGGTAAGTAGAGCATGCTTTTGCTCTGAATCAACTCAGAGACGTAAATCCCACATGTAGGTGATGAGGGTATATTGCTACACAAGTAAGGGAAGTTGACAGGAAATTTGAAGTCAAAGTAGTCAAGTACCCATTAACATCTTTTTATAGTAAAATCAAAATATGATGGATTCAAATGTTAGGCATGAAAATTCTGACAGATTGTTGGAATACATGGTCTCGAATAAGAGGTCTTATGGCCATAATTTGCACCTCGGCAAGGAAAAATCACAAATTTGTCTTGTATTGAAAATTTCAATGGGGCTTGAAGTTCCTGAGGATACTTCCATATCAATATGACTTCGCTGATTTCTACTTTCTATAAACATCCCTCTGTAAAAATTTTGTCCCCCATTGTATTATTGAGAATATTTTTTAGAGAAATTCTCCGAAACTTTGATCCCCCATTGTGACCCCATTCTATCCCCTCACAATTTGTAGAATAACCTTGGGATCTTTTTTCGTCAAAATGTACTGTGACACAGGACCCCGATTTACGCATCCAAAGGACTGGTTTTTACATCACAGTGTGAGATTCGAACCCGTTACCTAATGATCAACTCTTTATTCTGTGACTCTAAAGTATCCACTATACCACTGCGTCACGCAGGCAATTAGTGATAAATATAAGTGCATACCGGTACATAATGCTTTATAAAATCAAAGAATTTTCAGAAAAAAAAATCAGATAAATGATCCAACATTTTTTTAATGGTAATTTCAAATTCATCAAAGAGGCTTAGTTAAGAAATCATATTTAAGTAATGCTTTTGTTCAAGTTTTTCAAAAAATTTGTCTTAAATATCATGAATATGTAAAAAGTAGCTACAATCATAAGGACTTCAACAGAATTGTTTTTAAGGAGTGTCAATTAATTCCATTAAAAGTGAAAACCAGCAAAATGATACATAAATAATTATATCCAATCTTTTATCTTTATCATAACAATGAAACATCATTTCACTGACATTACAAATTGCTGTGGCAACTGATATTATATATCGTGCTGTTGATAATTAATCTAGCAACATTATCGCAATCTATTCTGATAACTTGAAAGATAAATAACATGTTTTCACATTTAAATCATAACTTACATAAATGAAACAATTTTATTTACAAAATAGAGTCATGATGACAGCCTATACACAAGCATATATATAGTTATATACAAAGGAGTCTATTCCAAATATTTAATTTTCTTAACTTTTCCTCCCCACTCAGCAAGAAACAAATTATTTTTGTACACACATAATCCAAATGGATCCTTCAGATCACAGTTATCTATATAACGGAGGAACTGTCCGTCCTGGTCTAGGATGTGGATACAGTGGTTATCACCGTCTGCTGTCAGGATCTGACTCTGACTGTCTGTTGTGATGCCATAAGGATTAAATGGTTTGTTCTGTGTGGTAGAAGGATGACCAGTGTATCTAAATCGAAGTTTTCCAGCCTGATTGACAACCACTACAGCACCAGCTATACTGTCAGCCACACAGATATCCAGGTTTCTGTTCTCACTGATATACTTAATGTGATAATTTCCTGAATACAGAGGTTTACCGTCCTCATCAAACTGAATTGTTTGTTTCTCTGTGGAGCCTGAGTAACGCACAACTTTTGATTGTGTTTTATCATCATCATCATCATCACTGTGCATGGTAACCAGGAGATCACCAGAGGAGTTGACGCAAAATTGTATAGGTACCCAGCCCCATAGTTTGATCATCTCCTCTGTGTGTCCATTCTTTACTTTATTCACAGTCCTTGTTATCCCATCAGAGTACAATAGATCTCCATCACCTGTCACTGATATATCATTTGGAAATCCCTCTGATTTTTTTGTTATTGTCTTGATAAGTGAACCTTGAATGTCAAAGCATTTCATATCACTGATGCTATGCCCACTTATCCAGATTTCTTTTTCACTGAGACAGGCAACAGAGCGATGGTTTTCATACCCAGTATCTATAGAAGTGATAAGTTCTGGTTCTTCCAACAATCTTCCGCTTGACCTTTCTAATTTCTTCATCTTGTAGCCATTTTTTTCTGTTATTGTAGATAAAGGTGCAAGAGATCCAAACAACTTGTAAAGCTGTTCTCTATCTACTGGTTTAGCATTAAACATTGGCAGTGATACCAGAACTTTAGGAGGAAGTTTACTGAATTCTTCATTTCTGGAGCTGTATTCAATGGTCATGAACACGTCATTTGATTCTTCAATTTCCTTCAGGTTGAGCAGAGTTTGTTCAATAAGGGACTGTATTTGTTTCACTTCTTCTGCATGTTTCTTGAGAATGTCAAAGTGTTTTCCTTTTAAATCTTCAATTTCTTTTTTCATGGCATTGATGGCATTGTCAATTTCTTTGTGCCATTGTTTTCCATGTTCTGTCACTCCTGTTGTAAGTCTCTCATATTCTCCATCCAAGTTAGCTATCTGTACTTCCACATCATTTGTGATTTCTTCGAATGTTGGAGAAATAATGTTTTCTAATTCCTCTGTGTCTTTTGCAATATCTTTTTTCTTTGAGTTGTATACTTCTGAGAGTTCTAAAATATTGTGTCCTTTATGTGTATTTAAGGTAAAACATGAAGGGCAAACAGGAATGTTACATTCTACACATTTTACTTCACAAGTTTTTGTTGGATGTGTTGCACACTTTGGATAAATCAAGGTGGACTTTCTCTGTTGGAATGGGACAATTTGATGTTTGTTATAGTCATCAACAATGTGTTCTCCAATACAGGGTTTACAAAGGTTGACATGACAGAAATCACAGTACATCTGTACAATAGCTGTCTCACAAAGGTCACATCTGATCACATCCTGGGCACTGTGGCGGGGATCCATAGTTCCTGCAGACTGAAGTTCTAAATCAAGAAATGTTTTAGAATTAAAATTAGCCCAGCATTTAATTGAATAGTATTTTTTTAATGCTAAATGAATATTCATAGCACTTCCTGATCATAACCAGTCTGGTCGAACCCAAAAACGGGTACCAAAAGTAGACATATTTAACATATCATAAAAATGTATCGATCTCATTTGTTACTTTGAAATTACAAGAAGTTATAGTTGGAATCAATTAACTAAATATATTAGGATCTACAGAATGATACAACGCCGAAAAAGTATCATGAAAATACACAAAATGAAAGTAGAACAGCAACGAACAGTTTCTATGATTAATTTCCAAATAATAATATCTACCATGGTAGCCCCTGAGAAACTTACCTTACATTTGTGAAAAGTAATTCGTCAGTTCTCTTTTTTTCATTTAAAATTGTCTAGACCCTGTTTCGCCATCTCCATATTTCTGAGTTTGTTGACGTTCTGAAAATTAGAGTTATCGCTCTTACAGCGTTACAACCACTTGGAGACCTTTTCCCCCTTATTTTTTATTTTTCATAAATGCCTATGATTCAAACTTCTCAGTTTTAAAATACATTTGGTTCACACAGCTCTAATCTGAAGATCGTCAGACCCACATTGCTCCTTTTTTATTATCATTTATAAATCTTTGAACATAAAAACAATTTTTTTTATATCATTCATGATTGTCTCCAAATAGTTGAGATGTAGCTGAAATAATATAGACGTTTCCCGTCTATCACTGCTCAGAAAAATAAAAACGAAGTTATTTTAATTTAAAAAAAAAAAAAAAACACTTAGGTAATATAAAAATTAAAAAAGTGAAATGGTATATTAACGTAATAAATTCTTATTTATAAAAAAAATCGCTATAGTTATAAAACTTGACAACGTTGATCCTTTTGTGCAAATGACACGCATCATCCTCATTATACATGTAGTTTTATACTTCATTGTTACAGAGCCAATTTTTTTTTTATTTTTTACCCAACTTTGATTGGCATAGGTACAGATTCATGAGATTCAAAGAAAAAATTCCTTGTTCTTTAATGTCACGACAGTATTCATAAAAAATATCTCTCGATAATTCTTCAATAATATGGAGACGTCACCACCCCAGACTTGCCGATGGAGACTTGGAAATTTTGACCTATATACTAACCCTTATCAGGGTCATTGAGTAGTGGGGGTGTGTCTTTTTTCCTGCGACATGGGACCTTGGTTTATACTTATATACGGTCTCATCTGAAGGGTTGGCCTTCACGTCTCACAGTTGGATCCATAAAGATTGATGAAAAAATAATAAATGCCAAACTAGATTTTTTTAATTAATAGCTCCAATTGACATATGTTTAATTATATGTTTAAGAAACACACAGGAGTAGTTCAGTAAGATCACTCGTATGTGAAATACGTAACCAGAAACTTATGTTTATAAGGCTGATTAAACAAATTTTGAAAACATCCTTTCCCGTGTTTCCCCGGCACGTAGCATTATACGGGGCCAAGGGGTCAGCCCCCCTTTTCCAAACATAACATAATGATGAAGATGTTCATAGAAAGGCTGCCCTCTTTTTTGTTGCAGTATAGTCAAATAAGGGTAATTTGTTAATGTATGAATAAAAATTGGTTCTGAAAGAAGTTCGACACCCTCTCCCCTTTACAAGAAAGGATTGCTAGATGGTTTCCTTTTTTTTTCATTTATTTTGATTTTTTTCTCTCTGTCCTCTTTCAAATTTGATGCAACGTCCCTGTTCTTAATCGGTTTGAATGAAAAATTATAGGACTAATTAATAGTCTTTGAACTGTCATTGGACATGATTTTTTTAATTGAAATATTTCATTTAAATTTTTATGCGTGACATTCCTTTTTCAGCTTGTCAAATCTGAATTCAGAATTATTTCCAAATAACGAATTTTTCTTCATCATTTCAATGTTGATTACTACAAAGCCTATAAGGATCAATCTAGACAGAAAAAAATTTAAAAGGCGTTATAACGGCTCTCGAAAAGGCGCAATAACGCCTTTAGAAAAGGCGTAATAACGCGAAAAATGGCATTATAATGCCTTTTGAAAAGGCTTTATTTCGCCTTTCTATTCCAAAAGACGTTATTACGTCTTTTTAAAAGGCGTTATAGCACCTTTCTAAAAGGCGTTATTACGCTTTTCCATTCTATAAGGCGTTATTAGACCTATCCAAAAGGCGTTATAATGCCTTTCCAAAACGCGTTATAACGCCTTTCTTACAGGCCTTATTACGCCTTTTTCGCTTTTTACTCTCAATACATGACTAAACATATTTAACCCAGCGAGGGGGGGTGGGCAGAAATCTTACCTTTGGGACATGAATTTCACAATTAGATAGAGGACTAATTTCTCAAAAAATAATTTAAACAGATAGAAATTAGATTTCCAGAAAAAAAGATTTTTAAATGCGTCATATATATTTAATGTTGAACCACCTAAGTCGACCTTCTTTCATACCAGACACACCTCTTCCAAGGGTCATTGATTTCAATTGCTCATTATACCCATGGAAATAGTTGCCTGCTTTTTCCAAGAAGAGAGAAAAATATCTTCAAATGACATAAATTTTAATACATGGCAAGCAAAGATTCAAGATAAATCTGCCTATATCCTTGATCTTCACAAGTAGAGTGTTACTACGAATGCAAACAATTGTCAGTGAGATGTGCAGGAATACTAGTATAGAGAATTGCATAAATAAAGATGGTTTGAATTCAATCTTTCATATGTTTATTGACATCTTTTCCTTTCCATTTTCCTTTACAAGTAGGCCAGTAGTACGAGTGCGAATGGGGTACCCCCTCCACATATACACACTTTTGAGGAAAAGTCTCGCTACAATTTAAATATTATAATTAACTATGGGTTTCTTGGTTCTTGAACATTTTTGTGCAGTATGTAAAACTGTCGCATATTTTTGTATTTAAATAAAGTTTTACTGAGAAGTTCCCCCCACGAATTTGGCCAGTAGATTGGGGGAGCTATTAAAGGCACGAGCTTGTTAAGTGCAAAATAATGGTTATTCAAAAAGCATAATAACTTTTTTGGAAAGGCATAATAACGCCTTTTAGAAAGGCGTAATAACGCCTTTTAAAAAGGCGTAATAATGCCTTTTGGAAAGGTGTACTGACGCCTTTAAGAAAGGCGTAATAATGCCTTTTGGAAAGGCGTAATAACGCCTTTTGTAAAGGAATAATAACGCCTTTTAGAAAGGCGTAATAACATCTATTAGAAAGGCGTAATAACGGCTTTTGGAAAGACGTAATAATGCCTTTTGGAAAGGCGTTATAACGCCTTTTGGAAAGGCGTAATAACGCTTTTTAGAAAGGCATAATAATGCCTTTTAGAAAGGCGTAATAACGCCTTTTGGAAAGGGGTAATAACGCCTTTTAAAAAGGCGTAATAACGCCTTTTAAAAAGGCGTAATAATGCCTTTTGGAAAGGCGTAATAACGCCTTTAGAAAGGCGTTATAACGCCATTTAAAATTTGTTTTTCTTTAGATTGATCCTAATAGGCTTTCGTAGATAACCTATGTACTGTAGCCCAAAATCACCGGCAGAAGTTAGCATATCTATCGAATATGTCAGTCAGATTTTATTTACTGAAAACTTCGGTTTAATTGAAAAGTATGCTAACTTCTGTGCTCTCCCCCTCAAAATGCGGAAAAGAGAGATATAGAGTGTACTGCTTGAGTATGTATGGAAGAAAGTTTGCGACATCTTACCGTTGTCCCTAACCCCCCTTCCAAGATCTGCATGAGTAAACAGTTTAACACCCTAGGATTTCTTAGCATCCAGTATTACTAGGCCCCAATACCATTAACTAAACAGACCAGTACTCAGACAAAATTTTGTTTCTGAATTTTACAATTGCGTTTTAGGAATGGCATGTTTGCATCACCATGTTTAGAATTTTAAAATTAACATGAGATAATTAAGTGTGATCGTCAAAATTCACTCAGAAAATAAATTCAATTGGAATTTTAATCTAAGTTTAACTGTTTTGAGACCAGTTCTGAGCAAAGCATTTTAACTTACAGTTTCATTTTATAGGTGTCGTTTTCTGATTTTTATTTGAAAATTGAAATAAGTAAATGTACCATTGTCAAGTAAAAAAAATTAACTAAAAAAATTAATGTTTTGTAGAGGAGACAGGTTTTAAAGTGAGCTCAAAAGATATCAAAAAGTAATCATATACTGTAAATCACTTTTTATCTGCAAGAACTTCATTTTCTCGTAATTACACACGACAGTGTGCTCGCGGACATATCATTCTCGCATCTATTAATTTTCTTATAGATTAACCACAATTCGTGAAAATTGTGTCTCGCTTATAACAAGAAAATGGCTATCTCGCGAAAATGAGGTGTCACGAAAATTAAGTGATCTTTATTTATACATGTATACATTCTGGTTATCATCTGGCTAATTTCTTTTATGGATACATGTTAAAGATAATGAATAAAAAATTGTAACAATATAATTCATTATGCCAACAGTTACACATTTTATTTAAGGAATAACTGTCTTCGGCGTTTATGCATAAAATTATCACGCAAGCCAATCGATTGATCATCATCATGAAATTGAAAAATCTGACAGTTATTCCTTATATTTACATGCTTTTGATTCCGCCAATCCACCTGCTCCAAGCCCTGCTTCTGTCTAGCTATTTGTCCCGCCCTGCACATTGATGGGGAAATAAAGTACATTTACAATTTGTAATTTTATCTTGCACAAAGACATTAATATTGGAAATGTAAATATTAAAAAATCAATGAAACATTGCACAGTACTATACACTTTATTCAAATTTTACAGCCACAATTCAATTAACATTATTGATTTAAAATTACAGATAAAGTATCCTATGATTAGAACAAATTGGGGATACTTAATAATACTTTATTCTCTTTGTAATAAATAAATGTTCATTTTATACATGACCAATATCCACAGAGACTCACAAGACTGGAACACAATATACACTTTCAACTATGGTAATTTAAAAAAACAAACAGTTATTGCACAAATCACAGATAACATACATTGTAGTCTTACATGTAATGCAAAAAACTTCACAATTACTTTCAGTATATACAGCAGTATTATATAAAAAGATCATCATGCGATCTGTTACAGTATAGTTCTATCAATTTTGATACCTCATACTTCACATCCCTGATGAAGGATGTCATATACTGGTTGTAGTACACTGTATATACTAATTCTAAATCAGCAAGGTATGCACGTCCTTGTGGAATACCTCTGAAGCATGTGTTCTGTAAACGTGATAACAGGGAATGATCTTTTTCACAAAACACGACATCCATTCAAGCAAAGGAATTCCCTATGTTAGTCCGTCTATATGTTAATATTCAAGTGATTAAAAAACAGTACTAACTTCACATTTATGAAGTTTGTTATAAATGTACATATCCACTATTTCACAAAAATTTATCCTTGACAGAAATATGCCTTTGTATGTTTTTGTACTATTTTGTTCATCAGTGTTGGTTCAGAACTGTTTTTTATTTCATTTCATGTCGAGTGATATTCTTTACAAAATATGGAATAAACACCTCCATTCAGTGATGAGGTCCATACATTGATATCTATAAATATTGAGGTCAACTGGAATATGGTGCCTCACATATCACAACAGGAAAATCCATGTGAAGTCTCGGAATGGGAAGTTTTACTTCACCCTGAAAAAAGAAAATCCAATAGAGATATTAAAACAAAATAACAATGTACTAGACTACAAATGAAATGGCCTTATTTTTTTTTGAGAGTTCTGCTTGATATACTCATTACTGTAATCTTATATCTTTTGAAATCGGATTACGCTAATGTGTACTTGATGTACAAATTAAGACATATATTTGAATTTTTTTACGGAAATTTATAACAGTGTACTTAATTAAAGTGCTTTAAAAATATTTAGGAATACCACTAATACATAATTTAAAAATTCATTGAATGGCACATTTGTGTGTAAGGCCAATTCATGAATAAGTGATTGCGCTAAATTTTGAATATCCACGAAATTAGGTACACATAACGTATCTTGCAGTTCATTAGGGCAATGTAAATAGGCAAAATATTCGATGGTATCAATTTCAAGGACTATTTACAACAGTTATAAGGAAAGTTTGTTGTGAAAAAGCTTTTGACCTTTTATTTTTACTTTGATCTCATATTTCTTAAATGAGTGTATATAGCTCTAGCTGCTTCAAAGAAAAAGAAAATTGTTGTAATTTTTTTTTACTTTCATTCACTTTTTTCAATTTTTCAAGTTGCATTTGAAAGACCCATGGGCCGGGCAATCATGCCCCATAAAATATTTCTGGTTTACATTATATGATTTGTATTTCTGGAACTTTATAAAGTTATGGGTTAATCTTGACCAGGGGAAAAAAATGTCATTTTGTAAAAATAGGTTTTGACAAAAACTTACTAAGTGGATTTTTTTAAAGCAGAGGAAAAAGAAAACGATAAATTCTCATTCTTTCAAATCTGCAACTGAGTGTGCTTAGAGCTTTTTATATATCTTCAATATAGAAGTTTTGTACACTTTTTTTCTTAATTTTTTCTTAATGCTAGTGTATAACTTATGAAAGAAACAATATTATGAAGGCTTTAAAGTCCTTATTTCCAAATTCATGTCATGGTTATCAAAGTGTCTCAGCGCCCTTCACAGACACATTACAATGTAACAATTTCTCTTCTATTAATATTTGATGAGCCTGTTTTAACATTTATATAATAATTTAATTTGTTTCGGATAGTGAATTACACAAAAAGGACAATACAGATCCCTCAAGGTCACTGCTGGGTGGAGGGAAATAATGCAAGGATGAGTGAAGATAGCAACAAATTTGGACCAGTATGTACATTTAACAGACTAAACATTCTTCTATCTTAAAAAGACATTGACATATTCTAATCATATAGTATATTCCATGTAGCTGGTAAGGAAAATGAGCAAAATTAACTGGGGCAGGTAATTCTTTTCTCTGCTTAAAACTAGGACAAAAAGATAGCTTATAACAATATTACATTTAAATTCAAGCAAAAAATTAAATTAGTATTGATATTATCCTTGTAATCTTTTTTGGAGCAGATTCATTCCCAAGTTTCAATAAGCCCCAACTGGACCAAACTGGATAATGCAATTTTACAGATGGACACACTAACCTGCTTTGGATGTTACATCTTATGTACATTTTCTGGCTGAGTGAATATTAGTCATACTTTTACCATTTTACAAAATAAGTATGAATAGTATTTATATTTTTCAGATGAGTGACTTGGGTTGGTAATGATTTGGACTAACTTTATTATGAGTCTGGCATGTTGATGGTGTAACTTTCATGGATGATGCACTCTAAATATTGACCTAGATTTGCCTCGAATATTGGAACTGATAGACATTTTCTTAATAAGTGAAAAGGTCAATTTTTTGGAGCAGGTCCAGTTTCAATAACTTGAAATCTTAATTTTAAACCGAACTTGCATGGATATTGATTTTGAAATGCACAATGCTAGAAAAATATATTATGTGAGATTTGCTTTACTAATTGATAACATTAGCATTAAACAAAAAAAAATAATTATAAATGGCTCTTTACTCAACGTGGAGATGAGCCTTGAAATCTTTGATTACCTGTAATTGTTTGTACGAGTATAATAAATCATCTTACTGTTTATCCATGTGTCTCTTCATATCCTGTATGAAGTTTTCTCAGTAACTACTTATTCAAATGCTTGAAAATTTTATCACATCCTTTTATTTTGGCATATTACATGGTGGTATACAAATTCGATGTCAACTTCCTTTCTATGCCCCCGTAAACGAAGTTTCGGGGGTATATAGTTTTTGTCGTGTCTGTCTATCTCTCTCTCGGTCTGTCTGTCTGTCTCTCTGTTTGTCTGTTTGTCCTTAAAAACTTTAACCTTGCCCATAACTTTTGATTTAGTAGAGCTATGACTTTCATATCTCATATGTGTATTCCTTGTGACAGGACCCTTCTTTAGGTACCACCAAATTTGACCTTTTGACCTTGGCCTTGGAGGTTGACCCACTTTTACTTGAAAATTTTAAAATTTTACTTTGGCCATATCTCTTGAACAGTAGACACCAGGACATTTATACTTCACATATGTAATGTTTGTTAAAAGACCTTTCACTGGATACCAACAACCTTGACCCTTTGACCTTGACCTTGTAGATTTCAGTACTTGTGAAAAAACTTTAACCTTGGCCAAAACTTTTGAACGGTAAGGGATAGGGCTTTGATACTTCATATATGTAATCCTTGTGAAAAGACCCTTCATTGGATACCAAGAACTTTGACCCTTTGACCTGACCTTTGAGATTGACCAACTTTAAAAAAGCAAACCTTGACCATAAATTTTAAAGAGTTAGGGCTAGTGCTTTCATACTTTACATATTTGATCCTTATGACAAAGTTTTTCATTTGATAACAAAAACTTTGACCCTTTGACCTTGACCTTGGAGTTTGACCTACTTTTTAAAAAATTGAACGTTGACCATAACTTCTGAACGGTTAGGGCTAGGGCTTTCGTGCTCTACATAAGTATTTTATGTGGCAAGACCTTTCATTTGACACTAATTACATTGACCTTTTGACCTTGACCTTGGAGATTTTTAAACTAATAAAAAAAACTTTAACATTAGCTTACTTTCAAATTTCACAATTGTTTTCCAATGAGAATACCCTACGTTTGGTACCAATTAATTAAATTAGCATTTAAGAAAAGCTTAATCTTTGCTGTTGCCATAGTGTTTTACAAACACATCTTGTTATCCATGCATCTGTCCGCAGCAAATTTTTGTAATAATTTTATCAGCAACTACTCAATGCAGGAGCTTGAAATTTTACATTGTAGTGCACTCTCTCTTTTGGCATGCAGTAATGGTCAAATTCACTTTTATTTTTAATCTTTTCTACACAAAATTAGGCATTTCCAAAAGGAACATTTAAATTTTTGTTGTTTACAGTGCATTTTAATTTCGATAACTATGTATCATGGCCTTCTTTTCATTCTTAGGATCTAGTGGGTTTTGGAAATGTAGTAGCTAAAGCCACACACATTGTTTGGCCTTTGGAAAGATGGACAAAACTTGGATCCACCACACAAAATTAAGGAGGCTCGATGGTCAAGAGAGGTCTCTTGTGTGAAATATTGAATACTAGTATTTTTAGCATTTTTTTTATTTTTGTTGTTATTTTCTAAGCAGTAAGAATTAAAAAAATAATATATAATTTATAAAATAAATCAAGTTTTTCATCACTTGAAAAATAATTCCTCAAGAAACTCTTTTTTATGGGGAGGATCATAAATAGCCTTTAAATAATGACCATTGGGCTCTCTTAAGAAAATGATTTCTTTTACATACATGAAATAATAATCCATTCCATCCCCTTTTCCTGTATTTTCAGATCTCGTTAGGACTTATCACAGCCAAAGCAACACACGTGGTGTGGACCCCTCATCGCAGGAAACGTTTGGAGTCCATCGAAGCGCCACCTGAACGTGTCATCAAAGAATGCCACCGACTAAATATATAAGGACCTCTGTGTTATTAAAAAAAACAAATTGTGATTTTTTTGTGCAATGCGGTAATGTGTGCAATGTATTTGTAATGTTGATTTATGTGTGTTATGTGAGATGACAAAAATGAATGTGTATACATGTACGTGTTAAGAGAATTATTATATATTGTTCTTAGTGTGTGATATTAAAATATTTAAAACTACATGTATAACAATTGTTTCTCTTGTTTATTTATACACCTATGTTCTATAACAAGGCATGTTGTGTATAATTATAGTTCAGTTATATACAGATGTAGTTTGTTTTTATGCCTGGTGCCAAGAATTTAAGCTTTCGTGTTCCAAAGTCTTTAAATTTTTATTTTGTCCAATGTTTTTTCAACATTTGTCTATTAACATCTTTTACTATTCCATTAAATCTCAGTAATACCAGTATTTGGAAAACTTTAATAGCCAATATTTACTTACACATTTACTTATATTTGCGTATGTTATAAGGATTATAAAATTTTGTCACAATCTAGATCCACAGCATCTGCAATGGGTAAAAATGTTTGCTGTATACATGTATATATATTAATATGTAAACTTTAAGGATGTAATCATAAATTGTCTTTAATCGAAGAAAAATAAAACATTTGATTATTTTACATAAACAATGGGTACAGTAAAGGTATCGATGGTCAAATGCCCCTTAGTTCAATGTGTCAAACTTTAAGAATGGAAGGGCTGTGGTTTTTTTCATGCAAAATCTTACTATATTAAAGCACCCACAAGTGAAGACAAATAAAAATGGAGATAATAAACATTTTCAGTCTTAATAATTCATACAAACAATAAAAATCAGGAGCAGGGCAAATATGGATCTCTTAAACATCAGAGATGGAATCATGCAGATGCATTTGAGAAGTGAGCATCACCTTCAAACCGGTCACTCACATCCGCCTTGTGCTTTTGTCGTGATTTGAAAAAAGGGGGAAAATCCATGGCCATAACAATTCAGTGTGTATATAGTATGAAAAAGTCAGTCAGCAGTTTACATAATGATAGATTGTCATCAAATTGCTAAATGATGTTGACGTCTTTAAATGAGATCATTGTTGTTCTTGTTTCATCCACTTGTTTGTCAACAGCTTGCCTCATTTTAGATACTTGGTAAGTAGAGCATGCTCTTCCTCTGAATCAACTCAGACACAATCTCATATAGGTGATAAAAGGTACATTGCTACATAAGTAAGGGAAGTTGATAGGAAATTTGAAGTCAAGTAGTCAGGTACCCATTAACATATCTTTATACTAAAATCAAAATATGAATAATGATGGATTTAAATGTTACCCATGAAGATTCTGACAGATTGTTGGAAGACCTGGTCTCTCTCAAGAGTCAAGAGGCCTATTGGCCATAATTCGCACTTCAGCACATTGGCGAGGAAAAATCACAAATTAGTTTGAAAAGTTTCAATGTGGGTTGAAGTTCCTGAGGATACTTCCATATCAAACTGATTAACCCCTTCACTTCCGTACCGGTCAAATTGACCGGTGGCGCGTTAAAACACGACTTCGCGAAAATAAGATCTCCGTATCTATTTTGTGGTAGCATGAAGGTATATAAGCTATATATCATCTTTTTGGAAATTTTCTCTACTTTTAAAATATCTAAAAAGATTATATCTTGATTGCCGGTATTTAATCGATTTTACGTTGTAAAGACAAACGAGACTTTTTGAAAATGGCGTAATTTTCCAAAGCGATTGCCGATTTTCCAGACGATTGACAATTTTTTCCTGATTAACTTTATAAGAAAGCATGGTATATTAATAAAGCAAATTTTCTCTACTTTTAAAATATGTAAAAATTATTGTTATTAATTTAAGGTATATTTTAAAAACAAGAATTTTCTTGCACTTATGTGTTTTTTATCGATTTTATTCGTAATATTTAAACAAAGCTCAGTTTTACGTTTATTTCTGTGTTGAAATAGGGAAAACAAAATAAAGCTGGTAAAAGCAGAGAAAATTTCCTTTCCAACAAGCCCTTATAGACCTTCTTACGCTCAGTATTTTCTTAATTACGATAATTTGAATTTGTGACCTTTGCATAGTTTTTATGGAAAAATCGGTCAATATTTACATGTAACGTCAAGGTCGATATTGTTGCGTCTTACTCGAAACAACAAATTCTTTTATAAGACTTTTTTGACCATTCAAATATATTTTTTACTGAAATAAATGCATAATACAAAAAAATAGATTTCAAAAAACAAATATATACTTTCGTTCTGCCTTTTGTGAAGTGAATGTTGATTTATTCATCTACCTGTAATGATGTATATTTCATGAAGTGATATACAATATTGATAAAAATTGTAGATTTCCAAAACGTCGATCTTTACTAAAAAAAAAAATCAATCAGATTTTTAATGTTGTTGTATCTTGTTATACTGTATACTTATTAATTTGCAATTTAATTAGATCTATATTGAACAATACAAAAACTCGCATTTATAAATAAATACGACTCATCACTGTATGAGTTGATACGAATATTGAAATAAACACGTGTTTCCGCTTTGGTGTAAACATGATGGTGATCCGAAATCTGAACGTCAGTTTTCATGATTATTTCACGACGAAGATCATCACATCAATGAATCAAATAATACGGATATGCCTTTGGTATTAGCAGGTCAGAATACGTGAATATTGACTGAAAAGTTTAAGTTTAAAACGCAAAAGTTCACGTTCAAAAGAAAACTAAATGTACACATGTACAAGATCTTTATGTTTCAGTGTGCGTGTTTCGTATCGTTAAAGCCAATTTTGCATTGCTTTGGAACTTTGATGCTTTTGACAATCACTCGTAAGTTCAAAGTAAAATCAAAGTTGTCATAATAATGGATAGTTGTTTTCAGTATCATGTACCAGTGTGTACAGGTGTACATGTGTACCACTTTCACATTGAAATTTTAGGGTGCTTTCAGCATATGCAACAATACTTTCATCTGTGAATACCCACTTTCTAAGCCCACCATGAACTACGAGCGGAAGGTCAATTAATATGTAAGGACACCAATGAACAGGTAAATTTTTATTTTGGTATTGAAAATTTCTGTATTTCTAAAATTAAAAAAAAAATGAAGTCTAATTTCATTTGTGTCATTCTCATGATCTCGCATTCATACAAGTTTATAAACATTTGATTTATATTTTGAAAAATAAGTGTTTGAAACACATAATATACTTATGATGCTTGATTATTCATACAAAACCCATTATTTAAACATGTAATATCTATCTGAATGAATGCCGAGATATGGAACAAACTGTGTTTATAGACTGCTGTTGTATTTCCAATCTGCATAAAGTATGTGGTTAGAATTTCCATTTTCTCAAATTTTCAGACACTTTCCAATTATCCTACATCATATACATGGGTGGTCAAACTCACTGTATGGTTTATCAACACTCCCATGATCACGAACAGCCTTGCGCCAGGAATTTTGCCCTGAAGTAACATTGCAGTCTATTGTCTCCTTTCTTTTTACAACCCTGGCAGCCATGCAGGTATAAAATCTATGAAAGCCATGAAGGGACATAGAATTTTTAAAATTTATAAAAGTAAACCGAGTTCTTGATTTATACAATCCGTTCTCTCGGATTGACAATATGTTATAACAAATTGCCAATTCATTCTCACAGATTACCAATTCGTTCCCTCAAATTACACAGTCTGTTATCTCAGATTGTATAATTCATTCTTTTAGTTTAAATGATTCATTCCCTCGGAATGTAAGCCCATCCCATGATTTCGTTTAAATTATTTATCTGTACATATCGGATATGGTAATACATGCTTAAGAAATAGAATATTGTAGTATTTTACAACCTAACTTTTATTATTTACATATTACAGTCCAAAATGAGAAAAATACATGAACATTTTCAAATCCATGTGCTAGTACTGATATTTGTACAACAAAAAATCTTAGAAGTTTTTGTGTTACTTGTATATTAGAAAAATTGAAAGTCCTAGATAGAAAAAGTGAATATGGGTCCTGTGTATTCATAATATTTCTAAAATAAATATACGTTGAATTAGTTATGAAAGAGGATGGAAACGACCGGTTGCTGAAACAAAATAAATAGAATGCACTTATTGATTAAAATGGTTGGATGTTTCTGTACATACATGTATATGTAATGAAATTCAAGAGCACAGATTTCCAAAATCATAAGACTGACGTTGTAACAAATCGAGATGTTGAATTATCAATCTGTGAAAACAAATTACCGGTATGTAATTGGAGATCTCAAATTATGAATCAAGGGGGCGAATTAGTAATCCTTAAGATCGGATTGTGTAATTCAAGATCTCATATTATAAATAGAGGGAACAATTTAGTAATCCGTGGGATTAGATTGTCTAATTCGATTCGATATCATCTTTTACTTTTTTGAAAAATTGATGTGTCCCTTCCTGGCTTTCGTAGCAATCTAATGCCAGATTTTTTTTACATGTTGCGATAGCATAAACAGAGGTCTGGCTTTAGTCAGATTGCCATATATGCTATTTGTTTTAGTTCAGTAATTTTACCATGATGGTTTACTACAAGTTGTTAAATTATCAGTCCTGATACATTGACTTAACATAATGAATACAATTTTAATTTTAAAAGGAAAATCAAATAAATGTAGTAATTTTAGCATTCTTAATTTTATTTATAAATATAAATTTATATATACAATGACATGTATCTGTTTCAAAATACGTAAATCTTTTACAGGATAGAAGCTGATCAATTGTACTTGACAGCAAATAATAATGTCTTGGACAAGTCAAAGAATTTCCTCCAGTCTTACAGAGAAATGACAGTTGATAAAAGAATGGTGGACACAAAGTAAAAGTGCTCTTCAACATTTTGTTGAAGATTTCAGTCTGATTTGGAATTCATCTTGCAATATTTCTGTATTTGTATATTTGGATATAAGCGTCAAATTTTCAACTTATTGACTAAACAGTTTTGCATTAAATATTGCCAATGCTATCTATTATTATTATTTCCCTCCAAGATAACATGTCAAGTCTTTATTGTACCCCTTAAGCTCTGTTATACCAGAAAAATCTTGTAATGAAATCATTTAGTTTTTTTCTCTTGTTAAATTAAATCCATGAAAATAAAGATTATTTTTAATGTCATCAAGAGAATGGATTTCTTGTTTAACAAAAAGATAGTATACATGTTTTGCTAGGGCTTTGTAAGAAGCAGACCAGAATTCTTTGCTTGCAAACTTTGTCATTCGCCATTTTTATTACGTCAACTATTAGATGATTTATCCATGTCTGAAGCATTTCAAAATTGATATTTACTTACAGTTTAAAGCAGAATTCTGTACTGATATGACCTTGACCCCCTGAAGAACAAGAGTGTCAAGGTCAATTTTTAATACAAAAATGTTCTTTCATCTTTATGGCCCATATCTTAAATACAATATCATGAAATATACAAAAAGTGTCTAGAATTTGTCCAGAATGTGAAATAACAAACATGTATATAGCCAAAAACTTTAAAATGATGTTGCTTAGCAACCACTTAAAGGTCATTAAACAGATATTTGAACTAAAATGATGCATGGATATTGCAGTTCTGATCCCTTCTTGAGAGAATATTCAGAATTTTCCATTTCAGCATCCATTGTGTAAAATTATGGCAAGAATATTGAAAAGTGTTGAAAAAAATTGATGAAACTTTTGCACTTATTTGACCTTTGACCTCCTAAAAATAGTTCTAATGAGGTCAAACTTTAAGAAAATTTATCTGTTGTATGTCCTTTATAATTTTATGACCTCACATCTAACTTTTATATGTGCTGGGATGCATAAATGTGTCTAGGATGAGTAAAAAATGAAAATTTCTGCCCGAAAATTAAAGAATTCTGCGTTGCTTAGCAACCCCTTTTATGTAGTTATATGCAGAATTGAAAAAAAAGTTTATGTTTCATGTAGTACAGTATAATACTCTTTTGTGGGTATATCCTAAATTTCCTATTTCAACATACATCATACTTAATATTTAGCTTAAAAATGAAAAAGTATCAAAAAATTCCATAAAATTTTGCACTTAATTGACCTTTGACCTCAATTTTTACTAATAAGGTCAGTGGTTGAGTATCTAAACAGTCATAAAAAATCATTTGTAAGAAATTTCCTACAAAATGGTGTGCATTATGCCTAGCTTTCCCCTTGGATAAAAAAGTTAGAAATAATTTAATAATGTCATGTCAAAAGGCCTCCAAAATCACGTAAAATGCGCCGGAAGAGAAAGGGTTAAGCCTTCACAGATTTATACAGATTTTCCTATAAATATTCCTTTGTAACCCCAACCCCCCATTGTATTATTGAGGAAAAGTTTTTAAAAGAAATTCTCCGAAACTTTGATTCTCCATCGTGGTTCCATCCTACCCGTTGGGTCATCATTTTGAAAAAAAATATTGAATTTACATTTTGTAAAAAAGGGAAAAAGGGACTTTTTAGTGGCAACATCTAATGTGAAACGGAACGTCAGTTTATGCATCCAAAGGACTACTCTTTACGCCCCATTTTGAGATTCGAATCCATTACCTAAAGATCAACTCTTTATTATGTGACTGTAAAGTAGAAACTCTAGCTCTGTGCCGAACAGGCAATTAGTGCTAAATATAAGCGCATGCGGTACATAATGCTATATAAAATCAAAGAATTGTAGACAGAAAAAAATCAGCTAAATGATCGATCCAACATTTTTTCATTGGTAATTTCAAAGTCATCAAAGAGGCTTAGTTTAGAAATTTTATGAAACATATTTCAGTAATACTTTCATTCAAGTTTCTCAACAATTTTATGTCTTAAATACACAAATCATGAATATGTAAAAAGTTGCTACAATCATACTTAAAAAAAAATATATCTAAGGAGTGACAATTCATTCCATCAAAAGTGAAAACCAACAGATAAAATTATTATATTTAATGTTTTATCTTTATCGTAAAAATGACACATCCTTTCATTGACATTACAAATCATGATAATGAAATTCTATACACAAGCATTTATTTAGTTATATACAAAGTTGTCTATTCTAAATATTTAATTTTCTTAACTTTTCCTCCATACTCAGCAACAAACAAATCATTTTTATTCACACATAAACCAAGTGGATTCTCCAGATCACCGTTATCTATATAACGGAGGAACTGCCCGTTCTGGTCTAGGATGTGGATACAGATGTTATTATAGTCTGCTGTCAGGATCTGACTCTGGCTGTCTGTTGTGATACCACAGGGATTAAATGGTTTGTTCTTTGTGGTAGAAGGATGACCAGTGTATCTAAATCGGAGTTTTCCAGCCTGGTTGACCACCACTACAGCACCAGCTTCACAGTCAGCCACACAGATATCCAGGTTTCTGTTCTCATTGATGTATTTAATGTAGTAATTTCCTGAATACAGAGGTTTACCCTCCTCATCAAACTGGATTGTTTGTTTCTCTATGGAGCCTGAGTAACGAACAACTTTGGATTGTGTTTTATCATCACTGTACATGGTAACCAGGGGATCACCAGAGGAGGTGACACAGAGACTCAGAGGTGTCCAGCCCTGTAATCTGATCATCTCCTCTGTCTGTCAATTCTTTACTTTATTCACAGTTTTTTCTCTTCCATCAGAGTACACTAGATCTCCATCACCCGTCACTGCAATATCAGCTGGCCATCCACCTGATTTTGTTTTAACTGTTTTGATAAGAGAACCTTGACCATTAAGGCATGTCATATCATTGACTTCTCCACTTGTCCAGATTTCTTCTTCATGGAGACAGACAACAGAGCGATGGTTTTTATACCCATTATCTAGAGTAGTGGTAAGTTCTGGTTCTTCCAGCAGTTCTCTGTGTGACTTCTCTACTGCAAGTGATCCAAACAACTTGTAAAACTGTTCTCTATCTACTGGATTTGGATTAAATATTGGCAGTGATATCTGAACTGGAGGAAGGTTACTGAATTCTCTGTTTCTGGAGCTGTATTCTATGGTCATGGACACTTCATTTGATTTTTCAATTTCAATCAGCTGGAGCAGAGTTTGTTCAATAAGAGACTGTATTTATTTCACCTCTTCTGCATGTTGCTTGAGAATGTCAATGTGTTTTCCTTTTAAATCATCAATTTCTTTTTTCATAGCATTGATGACATTGTCAATTTCTCTGTGCCATTGTTTGCCATGTTCTGTCACGGCTGTTGTAAGTTTTTCATATTCTCCATCCAAGTTAGCTATCTGTGTTTCTAGATCGTTTGTGATTTTTTCGTATGTTGGAGAAATAATGTTTTGTAATTCCTCTGTATCTTTTGCGATATCATCTTTCTTTGAGTTGTATATTTCTGAGAGTTCTAAAAAACTGTGCCCTTTATGTTGACTTGAGGTAAAACATGAAGGGCAGACATGAATGTTACATTCCTTGCATTGTAAATCACAAGTTTTGGTTGGATGTGTTGCACACTTTGGATAAATCAAGGTTGATTTTCTTTCTTGGAATGGGACAATTTGATGTTTGTTATAGTCATCAGCAATGTGTTCTCCAATACAGGGTTTACAAAGGTTGACATGACAGAAATCACAGTACATCTGTACTATAGCTGTCTCACACAAGTCACATCTGATCACATCGAGGTGGGGATCCATTGTGACTCAAGTAAAGTTCTAAAAATAAAAAGAATATGTGATAATGAAATTCATCGACTATTTAATAAAATTATTTCTTTCGGTCTAAAGCTTACTGTTAACTTGGTCATAAAATGAAATAATATCTTTAACGTTAATCTTCGATGACTTTTTCAGCTTCGTCGAAAAATATGCAAACCGATGTGGAGAGACAGTTGTCTGTTCTCCTGTATTTCGATTCTTTTAATTCATAGTTTGTAACATGTCGCGCTCAGTGCAAACCGCCATATTGACAGGCACGGATCCAGAATTTTTTTCCAGTGGGGACCACCCAGTCCAAAAAAAAAATCCAATCGCTGAAATTTCTTGACAAGCAAAAAAAAAAAAAAAAAAAAAAACCTAAACTCGCCCGATCGTCAAAAACCTATTTCGTGGGGGAGGGGGGTATTACTGTTGACTACTATTCCTTAAATCCTTCAATTTTCATTACCATTTCACACATATTCTCGTTTACCAGGGGGGTCAGCGTTTTCCAAGGGGTTCCATGGTAACTTTTTTCTTGTTTTAGTATATACATTTTTTAACTGGGTAAATTCCAGAGAGGGGGAGGGGGTCCTGACCCCCCCCCCGACCCCCCTCAAGATCCGCACATGATGTGTGTGGGGGGAGTGGAGGTGTTTTTATAAAATTTTAGCATTTTAGAAAACGATTCGCGTTAATCCAAAACTAACCAAGGGATCTTATTATTATAAAAACGTTCTATTTCTGTGCATGTGTTAGTAATTACTCAATAAACACAAATTACGCTTGAAATTATGTTGATTCTTTCATCTGTTTCCATGTTTAAATTGTGGCACATGTATGGAAAAAACCCCAGAATAGTGAAAATAGGTACACAAAAGTTAAAGCCGCTTAGTCCGATTCTGATCGCGAAAAAAATATTCGCTTTTTTTTCTTGAAAAATAATTGTCTATAAATTTCAACTTTTGTCAAATTATATCCCCAAGGTCTTTTTCTTTTAAAAGATATCAAAATTCAAAAGTTAAAAAAAAATTTTGTTAGGCCACACAAAAAATAATCCTATGTTGATATCGCCTGAAACCACCTTCGAAAAATTAAATTTATCGCTTATATCTCATGAAAAACAAATCCGAGCATTTTTTTTTCACAACAAAGTATAAACATATACCTGTACACGGACAACATTTTACCCTTCGTTACTAAACTTCCTTAAACAAATATCTGATTTTCCTTAAATTGGGCTTAATTCTTTAAGCATGCCAATTAACATAAAAATTACTATGGATTATATTCAATTAATTCCTTGATTTTTAAAATATATATATTAAGACTTCTACGAATGGAAAAAATACTCGGGTTTGATTTTATATTCATAATTAGATAAAACCGATAAATTATTTTTTTCAAAGGTAACTTCACAACAGATCTTAAACTCTTGTCAGGAAGTTCTGTTTGTCAGTAAGGTTTTTGATCTATGTTTTCTTTGTAAGGATTGTTGTAATAAACTATTAAATCAATCTTCTAATTTATTTATATACATTTTCTATGTAATGACGTACTGTTATTGTGTAAGATAATATGTGCCTGTTTCGGATTAAGCGGCTTTAAGAAAGACCGAAAACGTATTGCTATACATTCCCTGAAAGCGGTCTTTTGTTCGAAAATCCACAGTCCGTAGTACGGTGTCAGGTGTATGAGATTCCGAAAATGTTCATAAGCACAATCATAGAATGGATTTTTAAATTAAAGTAACACGGTCAAG